CTCCGTGTCAAACCATATTTGTTGGTGAGTTTTTTCTTGAAACCACTAGTACTTGTTCTGGTCTGGATCCAATGGTATATGGGTAGACTGCATGATGGCATTGTTTCTTTGTGAACCGGGTAGGGGCAAATGCGCTTCGCTGCAGGTTTAGAGTCATAGACTCATAGAGAACGCACACTGACCTCCTCTAAAGCATTCCAACCGAAAAGCCCTGCTTTGCACTGCTCATGTGAACCAGCATCACGTTCCTGTGATCAACATCGAAAGATTGAGCAACACTCCGCTGTTTCTGGCTCCTAGCAAAACCAAAGCATCCAACAACACAAGGTCTCTTCGCCACTCGCGCCGCGCACTCATGGCGCACTCCGGGCATCCGGGCGGTAGCTCATCGCCCATGATGCGCAAGATGCCACGCAAGGCCACTGCCCTGGCAGCAACTGACTGGTGCGACTCGTATGGAACGAGGGTGGCTGACCCCTCACCATAGATGCCTTAGGACCCAGCCACCCTCATTCCTTGCTAAGTAAGCACCAGTCAGGCAAGAGTTCTGGTAAGTGAGTGTGTGTCACTTGGATCTACGGATGCATGTAGCTCCGAATGGGAATCAAACATCACCATGCAGGGGTCGCGCCAAAGAAAATCCAAAGACCTTGAGTGTGCAACATGAGCTGTTTGCGCTGATGAGAAGCAAGTGATTTTCGCGCTTTCGCGGGTTGCTTACCCAAAACCATTGAGCATCCACGACAAGCCAACGCAAAGCAATGCTCCTCTGGACGTCCCTCTTTCCGAGGGCTCCAAACAGCCAGTTTGCGATGGCCTCATTAGCTACACTGCTCATTTTGCGATGTCATAGTTGTGTAACACAGGTCACAATGGCCTTCTTGGTGCATCACTGGGTGGAATCAAGAAACAAAGGAGCGTCAGCAAATAGAGTTGAATCCTGATGAAATGCTCTGGCTCTTCAACCCTCAGAGATTCCTAGTTCACACCCAGCGCACACCTTGTTCACTAGGTGCCAACATTCCCAAATTACCCGCCATTTACAGGCAAAAGTCTTGTTTTCAGCGTCCCTGGCAGCCCTGGCAGTGGCCAGGTCTCCCCCAGCGGTCAAGCCTTGCCACTAAGAAGGACTAGACACCAGCGGGTGTGGCCTTGCCACGCACGGAGCATCGCACAAAGCAGAAGTAGCGACTCTCCGGCATTTCTCGGGTCGACGGACCAAGGACACACAACTTAAAGACTTATATGTATAATTATGTTGATTAAATACCCTGAGCACATATGAAACCCCTTACTGAAGGGTGTTCCAGTTGGACTTGTCCAGGAGGGCTGATCCGCTTGGATCCTGAAACAACATCAAGTGTCCTCTCCCAACCCGGGAGAGGACCAACGTCCATGATCTTTTCACCATGGGGATGCCGTCCCGGAACATGTAGGCTGTAGGCCCCTACCGTTTCCAAGTCTCTTTGGATCGGCCACAACTTGGACACCAAACAACCCTCTGACTCCACTCAGTTTGCCTGGAACACCAAGGATCAATTCGGATACATGTTCACGTTTTGTGGGGTGGGCGAACCCATTTCCCCAAAAGAGGTCGGACTGGTCATCCACTGTTCACTACAGGTGTTTGGCCAAACACATGGCATGTTTGGACCTACCGAGTCTCTGCTCTTTAAAGATCCAGCTCCAACAGCTCCAGCTGCTCGGGGATGTCGCACACCAACATCGGATATCGTGGGATTCAACAAAAACGAAGCCTTTGACGATTGGAACACCCTGTTCCACGACCTGTTTGGGACTGTCATAGGACTCAGGACGGACGGCCGCCCCAGAGGTCGACCCCGAGTCCACCCCTGGCTTGATCGGCAGTCCTCTATAGTCCTCTGGCAGTGTCTAGCAGGCGACGCCCACCGTTCGGTCTTCGGAACACCGACCGCTCCGTGAGGAACGGAGCCGTTCCTCGGTCCGGGTCCCTGCGGATCGGTCGATTCTGGTGCTGCAAGAGTCAGATCGAAGCGAAGGAGATCTCGACTCCTTTAAGAGTCGAGTCACTTGGGCTTTGGGTCTGGAGACCATCTGTCCAGGTCGATGGGCCAGGTCGAAGCGATGTTGGTCTCTTGAGTCTCATTGAGTCTCTTTTTGTTTGTGGTGCAACCACTCCACGACTTGGCCATGCCACATCCCACGACGCCAAACCGCTTTTTGCAGGACGCCCCACCCCGCCTGGCGGCTCATCGTGAGTTGAACACGTGGAAAATGGCCAGGGTAAAGAAACAGTGAGAGCATCTGAGTTGGGCTGGGGACATAGTTGCTTCGAACTGGCTTGGAAGCTAAAGGACAAACGAATGCCGCCATCCAAAGGAACCTCCGACCTCAGGTCTCTTTACCGGGATATAAGAAAGGTTATTGCAATGTCCTTACGACTTGGCGGCCCCATCACGTTTTTTTTGAACCATTATTATTAATTGATTATTATTAACATACTTTAAATTGATATCTGATGAATGCTCTCCGGCTTGCTCTGCGGCATCTTGAACCTCTCTGTGCTTTTCCCTGGTCACCTATGCAGGACGCCTCGCGTTCGAGCCCACGAGGCACGGAACATGGCACGGACAGTGGCACGTTCACAGGTGACCCGGGTGAAAGGATACTCACCTCGTAGGGCTCCTGGCCGCCCCCTCCGTTTCGTTTCGTTTGTTACGATGGGTGCCAGGGGACTTGACCCAGCGAAAGGTGAACTCTCGAATGGATTTTCAGGATTTTCAACGGATCTCCCCACAAGGTTCGTTTCGGACTTGCTGAAGAACACCTGTTTCGTGGGTGCAAGGATGGAAAAGAACCAGTTGAACTCGAATTGGACAACATATTTGTTGTTGTTGTTGTCCCAAACAGTAGGACACTTCCTCTCACCCACACTTACGCAGCACACACACACATAAGTTGCTACGTTGGGGTCCCGCCACAAACTCTTGAAGACAGCGGCTTGCCGCAGCAGCTGTTGCAGCAGTCGTCCAAGGGAAACCTCCACATCATCCTCCAACAGGTTGAAGGTGCAGCCAATCTATTCAACAGCCAAAGCTTCACGCGTGCTGAGGCTAGGCAAAGCATGATTTTTTGATTGATGGCTTGCCTATCTGCATGAGCAACAAGAATAATCAGTTGCTTCCGTCAGACTGTAGCAGCCTAAGCAGCAAAACAAACCTTCATCTGTACCTATTCGACCATATTCGACCCTCTAATGCTTGGTTCATGGTGGCAACGCAATGGCCCGTGTGTGCCCGCCATCTTTGCATCTACTGCTGAAGCTCTTTTTCATGGAGGTTCTTGGCAGTCGATCTACAGCTGATAGGGTTTCCACAATTGATATGGGTTTACACATGGAGCATCCAGCAAGAATTTTGCAATATCTTGCATATCATTTTTGGCTCATGCATAGCTGATCGGAGGCAAAGTCAGCTTTTGGACGCCTCAAAAACGGCTATCTTGGATGATTAGATCTTGGATGAACACCCGTTGGCCACACTTCAGGATGGGTTTGTCTGTCTGGATGTTTACAGTTCCAAACGAATCTTGTGTGGGAATCAGGATTAAAACCTTCACATCCAGGTATCTCTGCTATTGGTCGCTTCGACCTGCAGGGTCTCCAGGTATCTCCAGCGGGTCTCTCATCCAAACAGACCACGTGCACGACTGGAGACCCACCGTGGTCAGTGCCAGTCTCGATGCCGACCGTCCGGATCCAAGCCTTTCGACGTTTTGAGCTCCTGAACATGAAACACAGGAGTATGGGCGTTTTCATTTCGTGACCAAACGATGTATGAACCAAAAGGCCGCTGTGATCTGTAAGTACCAAAATATCTCCCAACAGATCTCCCAGGCCTCACCGTTCCATCCATCGACCCGATTTATTTCGTGTCACCGATCCTGACCGATCCCAATCCCTCTGGCTGCGCATGGCACATCTGCCCATCTCTGTGCATGGCGTGGCTTCTCCAGCAAGGAATTCAGCGAATTCAGAGCGACCAAGCGACCGAAAAGGTGACCGAAGGATACTGAAGGATACCGAAGATACCGAAGGGACCGAAGAGTGTCGTCAGTCTGGCTTGCCATGGCAGTCTGAAAAATGAGACTCTGCATGTGCGGGAGATCTGTCTGTTGCTGAGCTTTGGGAAGGGCAATCAAGGCTACTAGGTCCTGACTAGGTTACACTCCCCTTTCTTCCCTCCTCAGCTCCACCACTCACTCTGTAATTCTCAAAGGAATTGTCCAACAACAGAAGTGGCGCAATTTCCTCTCTGACGTTGATGGATCTCTCCAAATCATGGATCGATGTCAGCCCTGCTGGGGCGCTCGGCCCCCCCTGCTATGGCTCAGTCTCTTGGGCGATCTCAGCGGAGAACGTCATGAGATCGAGGGCACAGAGTGGAGCAACTAACATCGGATGTTGGCATCATACTTCAACACCAAGTTTCCTAGATTGCCCAGCTTGGAAAAAACACCATAGTGGAGCCAACTAGAAAACCAACCTTCCATACGTCTCACAAAGGTGCGAAGATGCCTCTGAAGTTTACCCCTTCATCATGCCTTCGAAGGAGACTCTTTACGAACCCCGCGAACTGGGCGAACTGGTGTGCTTGAGGAACATCCTACTGAACATCCTCTATGTCAAACTACAGCCAGCAAGCCAAACACGAATTCTGCTAATATCGATTTGCCCCCCTGACCGGTCCTCTTGGACAGAAAGCTTGCTTGGTCCATCTTAGGTCCCTTTCTTGGAAAAACACCACACAACGCCAGAGTCGGGACACCTTCCTGGGACCGAATCGGCATCCAGAAAGGTCAACAGGTTCCAAGAAAAGGGGCGCTTCCCAATGGAGAAGTTTAGCAACGGGTGGCAACCAAAAAGGTTTCAACCTGTAACCTTGTGGCACCTTGTTTTGCACCGCTCAAAAAAGCGCCCAACTGTGAACCCCAAACGCTCCAGCAGGGCGGCAGCACATGTCTTTTTATCAGTGGCATTCTGCAGCCAGCTGTTTGCCTTGCAGAAGAGTTACAAGTTAAATCAAGTTAAACAAGTTACGAACCAAAATGATGCTCACGAGGTTCATGGCGTGGAACGTGGTGACTGGCACGTTCACGTGGATGTTCATGTTTTTTGGCTGCATGTTGATCGGCAAGTGGATGATCCGATGTCTCACCCTTGAATTGGTCTGCCTCCCACAGACCTGTTTTGATGGTGCCGTCGGCATAGTTCATGATCCCTTCTCCACTCCTCTGGCCGTCTTTCCATTCGCCAAAATACAGGTCACCATTGTTGTACCAGGCCTTTGTTCTCCCTCCATGGCCAGCAGTGGACATCACCGGTCCGCAATAGACTCCATCTGCCATCTTGTGCACTTTGGTCAGCTTGCAAACGGGGTCATATTGCCAAGGTTTGTTGGGAAAGCCAGCCAGGTCGATGATGTCCGCCTCAAGGCCGTCTTTGGCACTGGCCCTGCTGCGTGGAATCCCTGTGGCAGCAGCCACCAGCACCAGGCCAACCAGCACTAGGCCAATCAGCACCATACGCTGCCCATGGCGGTGGGATGCCTTCTCTTCGCCCAACAGGCCCTCTGCCTCCACCTCCACACGTCCAGTGCTCACGCTTTCCACGTCCATGGCTGCCATGGCGTCTGTCGGACGAGTCGGGAACGCGTCGGTCGTGCGGGAGGTGGAATGAACGGTGTTTCAGTGCTGCTGTCGCCCAAGGCATCGGACGAAAACGACACCTCCACTCGGTGGTGATCACTTCGGTGAACAAAACAGATGCGCGTCAAAAACCCACAGGTCACATGTCCTGCCTTGAAGGCTGGGATGTCGCTCTAGGTGTCCCTGCTTTTCCAAGGCGTGGAGTCCCGGACCTCGGAAGCGTGGCTTAGTTGCCCGGGAACCCCAAACAGGAGCCTCCAAACAGGTCATTCATCATGTCTGCCATCGAATCAGGTTCAAGAGGGCAATGTCACGGCCGGTTTTGCCTTGCACGAGTTGGTGCATGTTGGTGCTATACTCAAGGACAGAACAGCGGCACCATTAAACTGATCTGCAAACTCAGGAGGCGTTACGTCGTTCTTTCTTCCAGATTCTCCCAAGGAGGGGATCAATATATATATATCAATATATACATATAAGCGGAAAATACGGGCTGCATGATTGATGTCTTCCAAAACATGGGACACCCCGACTCTGGTTCCGATGTTCTTCAGAATCAGGGGCACCTTAGTTTCAATGTTGTAGTAGATCTGAGATCCCCAAAGATCAGACATGACCAGACCGAAAAGGCACGAAGTCCAGTCACTTCAGTCACCACTTCACTCCCATGGCCCGAATTCAGTCACGTCGCTCACCCCAAGACTGGCGATCTGCCGACCAACAAGGACCAACAGTGTTGCAGGATCCCCATCTGATCTGAATTTGGGCCTCAAATAGGAAAGGATCATTCCTGTGGAAGGCTTGTGCAGTAAGATGTGCTATCCGCGCCGCATACGTATCTAAGTTGCCATGTTGCTGAAAAACTCCGACAAACATGGCGCTGGTGAAAGGAGCCACCCAGATTCGACCACCTTTTGGGAAGAGTTTGTCCTGTGTCCACCTGCAGTGTCCATGCAGAGTCCACCTGGTTTCATCACCTTTGCTCAGCTCCTCCAAATGGAAAAATGTGGGGGAGATCAATAGGGATCTATAGGAATCCACCACCATTAAGGAAGTCCATGAAGATCCAAACACTAGAGGCACCCCCTCATTTTGACCAACACTCATGACCTGAAATGTTCTCTACTAAAAAATGTGTTCAATAACTTTTGAGGCTCTCAAAACCGGCAAACGAACAGCGCGGTATATAGAGTGGCTCATGTGAGGCTCACAAAACAGGGTGGTTTCATCCGTTTTCCAATCACCTGTCTCCACCTCGCCTGGTGGACCATGCTCACGTCTTCAGCTCCCTGCTTCGAGCAGCCTGAGCAGCGGGGCAAGACACGCGGCAGCACATCGAACCAGGGAAGTACGAAGCAGCAGGAGAACCAGGTTATTAGTGCTCAGCCATTTGATGTTTGACCTGCCCGCTGCCTTTGAGCAGCATGCATGGCGCACATGAACGATCCACGCCCACCGGTGTGAACGGCAGCAAAAAGCTCCTCATTAAAATTGAAACTACATTGAACACATCTTGATCTGGCTCAATTACATTGATCTCAAAGCATCTCATCAATATATCTTTCACAAACACAACCCCTCCAGGCCCTCCAGGCACCCGAACGAAAAAAACACACACACAACTGCCCGCCAACCAGACCCGAACACAAAACCGCCCAAACCGCAACCGCAACCCGTGCAGCACCTGAGTCACCAAAACGGTCGTTCGTGTTTTCGTCGATTTCTGCGTCCGTGAAATCCGTGCATCCTTTCTGCGGGGGTCCTTTGCCCCTTTCGACGGTGGCCAGCTTTGGGCACGAGCGCCCAGGACGAGCGCAGGACGAGCGCAGGACGAGCGCTGGACGCGCAGGAGGACAGTGCTGGTGAGCGCCATGAAGTGGGCGCCTGAAGATCTGAACAAAGATTGCCCTAGATCTAAAAATGACACCACCTCAAGTGGCCAAAGGAAGCTTTTTGTGATCTTCAGAAGCCACAGCTGGCTGGGGCTTCTTGAATTCTTGTTGCGCAAGGTTTCTGGTTTTCCACTGCCAATGCTGATCTCTGTCATCCATCTGTGCATGTTGACTCTGTGCTGCTGGGGATGAACCCTGATCCGCCCACAGCCGGGACGGTGGAGCACTCCAGTGGGCCAGAACATGTGATGTTTCCTTACTTGGAGAGTTTATGTATGGTCAATATAGAAGTGGGAGACAGGAGAGGAAGCTTAGACACCAGCCAGAATGACCTGCAATGGCTTTCAAATTGTATACTGTAATTAGTCTGACGACTAGCAAAACAGGACACTATACATCCATACATCCTGAGGCATGTAGATTCATGTAGATTCTATCTCTAGAACCATCTGGAACCACTGCTGATCTTGCTGCGTGCTCGGCTGGGCCGGAGCGATATGACGCGTGCGACGGGACCCCACTGCAGCATCGAAGTGAGCCAGACCAGAATTTCTGCAGTCAATTAATCAATCACCCACAATCACCCACAAATATGCAATTTGAGGACCATTTAAGGAATTGATTTCTGTGGCCAACCCTCCAATCCCACAATGAGTCTGGCTCATTGGTACGTCAACCCGAATTCTTACCATTTACATCGGCGCAAGCTATAGGCAGTGCGCTGATCAAACAGCTCAGCTCATCCTCATCTGCTGAGGGATCTCTGGGCCATAATTGCCCAGGCCTTTGTATCCTTGGTGTTTGAATCACACTCGGCGACCGGGTGGGGAGCCAGGGGCGGTTGTGAGTGTGATGTTCCTGGATTGAAGGATACCAGCTCCCAAAACACCAAGCTGGAAACAGGCAACAAAAAGGGATGGTATGTGGATGTCGATTCATGACTGGCTTTTGGTCACATCACAACCATTCACTTATGTGTCAGATGTGAATTGAATAAACATATTGTTTTGTCCAATGATTCTTGAATTCAACAGGTGAAACACAAGTGGTCGTAATATGTTGCTCAAAACAATTATATAAGTGACAAGCTGACCCAAACCCAAACAACGCATGACATCGCAGTCTCAAATAACACTTCGACACATACCATGTACAGCCCGGCGCCGGCTGGAGTTCCTGCAAGCGGAACCGCCGTCACCATGCAAAATGGTTCATCGGTGCGTTTGACCAATGGTTGACAGTACACATCCCAATGTGCTGGCACAGAGTGGGGGCTGTTGGGGGAAGACTGCCAAGCGCAGACTGCAGACTGCCAAGCGCAGGACACTCAAATGCGATGTGCCATTGCCAGCTTTGTTGGGGTCTTTCTCCACAGGTATCCAACGGTTTCTCGTCTACACATTCCCCCAGTGTCTGAAGGGTGAAAAACAAACGCGTAATTGTAGACTCTGGATTAACAAACCCCTCCCATTGGACCTTAAAACACCTCTTCATATGGTGTATCTTATGAATCAAGAGGTCTACATGAACTTTCTCTGACTCGGCGGAGTTCTGACGGCGCACGCACGTGGCGTACCCCACGCACGGGAGCAGCTCCGGCCAAGCGAGCCGAAGGATCGTGACACAACTTGGGCGTCAACATCGAGACTAGCTTGTTCACCCCCAAAAAAACGGGAGACCAGTACTCTGGAGCAACTCCAAGTTGTTTAGTAGTCTTATTGTTTAATAGTCTTATATATATATATAGATTTATATAGTCTATCTCTTTTCTCATGAAGTCTTTCTTCAGCTGCAGTCCGCAAACACAAACTGTCGCTTGGTGTCACCGAAACCATCTATAGCTGGGCGTGCCAGCTAAGAAGCTCAAGCAACTTACCCACACAACCACCAGTTCATCATAACTAATCCTCATCATCGTTCGAACTTGTCCCCTCCAAGCATCCATGGCTTCCTGGGAACTTCCCCAACAAACCCACCATGAAGATGGCGGGGCCTTCCCCCTCGGGTGGCCCACAGCAAGTGCCACATCCATGGGCACAACCCGGGATGCAACACCAGCAACCTGACGTCGACTCCGTACGATGCGACGGACGGTCCGCGGGACGGGTTTGCGCCAGTCTAGACGACTAGAGGCCGATCCATCCACGACGTGGGACAACAAAACACGATACGTTCCACCCAACACATGACGAAACAACGAGATACTTTTCTATTCTGATCTTTCTTTCGGTGTTTGGAAGATAAAGGTGCCAGGCAAAATCAGTCGCACTAGCTGCTACTAGCTTTAGGCCATCATCCTGTCTTATGATCCATCTGAACTTTTATGTACCAGAAAACTGGCGACATGGTGGGTATTCCCTATGGCAAAATGCTGCCATTTTCTGCATCGCTCGCATTCCCCGGCTTGAGCGAACGCCGTCGCCTCATGACCAGGGCAGTACTGCGGGGTCCCTTGGTTGATCCGTTGAATGGTCGCTTCGCGGTCTCACCATCGGGACTCCGGTCTCGCGCACGCCGGTCCGGAGGGGTTCCGGAGTGGACCTGGGTCGTTCAACGACCCAAGCCCCCCAAGCCCCCCAAATGGCCACCATGCGGCGACGACCGTTCCCGGTGCCATGACCTCATTTCGAGACGTGCCACACGGAGGCGGGCAAAAGGGAAATCCTCCTCCGCAGCACTGACAGCAACAGATCTTCGCAGGCCCTGGCAAGCCGGACCAAATCATGTAGCCACCGGGCCCATGGCCAATCCTGGAAGGATGGAGCATGATGGAGCCGAGGAGGGTGAAGATTTCCCGTTTCATAGAGAATCCCAACTCATTCCAGCTGGCCCAAGGAGCCAACACCGAAATCCTCACATCATTGTGCTCTTTCTATTCCGCATAGTCATCCTGGAGGAGAAAGATTATGGGAAAACCCAGAAAGCAATAGGAAACTGGTAATGTTTTTGGATAGGTTCATATCTCGATCTCTATATATACATACATGAATATTCTAACAACTCCCTGACCTCCGCAGTCTTGGGGGGCTTTTCATCCCTCTTTAAGGCTGTTTCTCTCGCCGAGAATCTTCATGTTCATCGGATGGTCCATCGGCGGGGGGGTGCCTTTGTCCACAAACTTCTGGACCTGGCGAGGCCAGCGATCGTGTGCAAGTTGAAACGATCCGCTTGGTATTGCTTGGGTACTCACTCCTTGAGTTTCCCTTCTTTTTGGTTCGAGGCACCTGGGGCATGTCCTGTGGGGTTGCACCGAGATCACCGGCGACTACTGAACCGTTTCCCTGGAAAAATAGAGGTTAACCTGTTTCATCCTTTTTCATTCCTTTTCGACCTGTTCTTCTTTAGCGTTGACGCAAGCACGTCCGTCAACGCGCCGCGTTGACGCGCGTAAGCGTACCTCCTTCCCTTGCAGCAGTGCCAGAGCTTGCTTGCCACAGTGCTGCGAAGCGATCGTGATCCGTGCAGACACCGGGTGTCCGGGCACTTTGGTGGTCGTCACCTTGGAGAGACCGGGCCCCGCCCCGGAGAACACCTCGTTGGCACGGCGGGTGAACACCACGGGGATCTGGGTGTGGTTGGCTGAACTAGGGAGACGAAACCCATTGGTTGGAAGGGTTTCCTTATGCAGTCACAGCCAGGGGTTGGGGAGTGAAAATCAAAGATCCACAGTCCAAACGCTGCACAAATGTCAGAGTCAGTCGAAAAACCATGTGGCCCAAATCATTGACCTGGACATCTTACCCAGTTCAGCCCGCACGATGGGCCCCAATTCATCGGGTGGATGAAACAAAACATTGCCTAAGCTTTGCACATCCAACCTGATGGATGGCTACTTCATAAGTTCGGGGGACAAGTAGTTCATCACGTTTAACCCTGGTTCATTGGAGGCCTAAGTTCCTTGATCCTCGTATACTTTTTTCAATGGCGAACACTCTGAACCCACTCTCCCCAGGGTCTCATCTCAGCACGACCCTCTTGGGGTTCGCCTTGGGGGTCTTGGGGGTCTGCAACGACCAGAAGAAACATCTGCAGGCGCAAACCGATCGTTGCTTCTTGGTCAATGCTGTTCCAACGCTCAAGCCACAAGCAAAGACGAGCTACAGCGACATGAAAATGATGGATAGTCTGGGTTTGCTGACCCAATTAAACAGAGCCCGACAGTCTCTGCGCCTTACTTCATGCACACGTGGAAGAAGTGAAAACACAATAAATACATATATTATAACCATGAAACTCACTTAAACGCATGAAAACTATGCTTTGGACAAGTGTTTCTTCTCTACTTCCGCATGGCCAAGTGCAGCCAACGTTCTACCTCAACAAACTATCAGGCAAAAATGCTTGGAGTCCATGTAAGTTTCAGTCAAACTACTTGTGACCATCATTAAGATTCGATCCAACTGGACAACCCATTGACTACACTACACCATGGTTTCCCTGATCATCTGTAGAACCTCCTCATCCTTCCCTCCTCCCCAAATCTTCGACTTCTTGTCCTCCATGGCACTCCAACGCCGAAGACTTCAGGATAGGCCTGGGATTGGAGGCACTCGTTGGAGATGATCGCGCCCGACGCGTCCAGGAGCTGCTTCCCTTCGCCTCCGGTCAGAAAGGCCTCAGTTCAGTGATTGGCCTCAAAGAAAGAGACGCGCGAACCAGGTCTGGGTCGGCGGAAGTTGACTGGTTGGCACTGGTTGGTGATGAAGTGCGAAGAAATGTGTATAGTTATATGTAGTTATACAGTTATACTATGTTAAAGTAATTCATGATACTCAAATGGAAAAATGTACGCAAATGCAAACACCCCAAATCACAGAAAGACTTGGATGAGCTCCACAATGGAAGTTGCTTTTGGGTTCTCTAAAGACATCGAAAATCATCGAAACATTTGTTCTACTGCATCTGGAAGAATTCTCCAGTGTTGCAGGTCCTCCTGGTCACACCATGAGAGATCCGTGAGTTGCTTTCCATGCTTATCATAGCTGGAGCGAAAGGTTCAAGTCAACTATCCAACTGACCAGGACATATGGTGCACCTGACCGTCTGGATCGCCAGTTTGCATTGAAAAACCAGGGGATTTGGAGTCCAAATGGGATGGACCGATGGCCCATCCGACACCTCCTTCCGACACCGCGCGTGGCGTGTCCGCCGAGGTGCGGTATTGGGCCGCACGGGATAGCAGGGGATGTAGACATCGAAGTCCAAGGTCTCGCCATTGTCCAGTTTCCTCGGGTTCCGACCCACGCGGCAAGACATGGCCAGGGTCGCTGTGACCGGAAGACCTGCGGAAGAACGGACACATCTTGGATGGGCCAAGGTACACTCGAGGCAGCATTCAAGCGCAGCAGTTTCTCGAGTGTAGGTGCGAAAAAGGGTCTTGTTAATTGGGATGAACCTGGGGACACAGTGACAAAAAGTAATACCTTTTGAAGCACGAGAATCTATACAATTCCTTTTGCCAGGTGGAGTGCCCATCTCAGGTCAATCGATAGTTCTTATGATTCTGCATTGTCAGGACCAAGCTTCAGTTTGCCCGGGCTTAAGATGGCGTCAGTGTAGGTGGGGTCCGACACCGAGGCATGCTTCACCTGACGAGTTCGAGAAGTCACCGGGCTCGGATGGTTAGATAACCACCACATGATCCTTCATGTTGCACTGGGTGCCGTGATATGTCTCATTAAATGAGGGCATTGTGACGTATTGTGTATTGCCATTAGAAGCCACATGGGCGAGAAACAACCTCAACAATCCGTTGGCTGGGTACACAGAATGCGGTCGGTCCCCAGCTACTACATTGCTCTCCAAACCCTCGTGAAACACGGTCGTCGGGGTGACCGTGTTCCGTGGTTTCAGAGTAGATGGCACTGGCACCCGAAGATGTCATTTAGATAGGGGTCCAAACCAAAAGCATTGACCAACCTGGGGGGCCCAACGGTGGAGCTACCTCTCAATCGAAGCTCTCAATCCACTGGCTTCCGGTGGAGCTACCGGGGGACCAAAAACAGGCCTCCACCTTGAACTTCTCCGTGAGGATTCCCGTGACCTTCTGCACCACCGCAGGGTCCGGCTTCCGGGATTTCTCCCCGTAGTCGCCTCAGGGACGCCGACGGAGGACTGAGAGACGGACCCTTCAAAAGGAGACCA